CATTCAATCACTTATACCACAGCCACGCTCCCCCCTTAAAGTTTCTGTTAGCTAAATCTAGATGTAATAAAGGTTTTCAGTATTGGCTTCCAAAGGCCTTGGTGAATGACTTTGAGCTATTTAACCATTCATTTAGGCACATTCACTTGTACCTAAACTGTTCTGAAATTAGAATTTGCTTTTTTAGGGCCCCGTGCTATGCTGACTCTAGCACTTTACTTAGAAAGATTTGTCTTCAGTAGTTCTGTCTGTCCAAATCCTGATAGTGCACTTCCCTCCCTCCCCACAGCCTTCCCTGCGTCACCCTGCCTTCCTGCCTGCTGCCCTTGTCAGATCTTTCCTAACTTGCAAAGCCGTGTGGTTTTGTCATCACCACTGTTTTGATGACATTAGTCTAAATGCGGGGATAAATACACTGTCTTTTGGGGAAGCCAATAAGCAGGAAAGGGCTCAGGAGGTTAGGAGAGTACTTGCAGAGTGTGTATAGCTTTTTCATGAGTTCAGCGCTGCTATGAAAGTATCCAAACGCTTCCCATTTTAAACAAACGCCGCACAGCATGCTGTACTTTATGAGCCACTTTGTAGCCAGTTTTACAACAGTAAAAGCACCAGAGGGTGGAAGTAGCTGAGGCCTAACAGGTACAGACCAATAGTGTGGAGTTTCCACTTGCCACTAAATAATGCTTGTAAAAGTCAAGATCCAAAGATGAAAGGCATTTTGTAGGTTCAAAATGAGCAAGATTCAACCAGTCCTGTATCTTCTCTTACGCAGATAGAATCCTGAGAGAGAGAAAGAGAGAGAGCCACCCCCTCCAAGGTAGATGCAAAGATAGTAGAACCTAAGGAGGTGTAGCTATGAGGGCGCCAGATTGTCCTGGCGGGCTGGCAGCAGAGGTCTGCAGCCCAGGAAGGCAGGCTGCCAGGGCCAGAACTTGGAGAGGGTGTTGTGTGAGGGTGTGACTACACCCGACTGCCTGTAATTAGGAAGACAGCAGGGAGAGCTGGAGGGGCCAGGACGCCTAGTTCTCCTACACTCAATGAAGAAAAAATTGACACCAAAGTCTCTTCTAAGGGATTTCAAAACGAGTAGAAAATTCTTTGAGCTCTGTAATAAGCTAACTGAAAATTAATTTGAAATTTGGCTTTAGTGCCTGCATTTGTGCGTTTAACGGTAGAAGAAGCATGCAAAGGTTGGTTGGGGGGAGGGGAAGCTGCCTGTATTTCTCTTTTAAGAAGTTTGAACAGATGCTTGTTGTTGTTGTAGCTATCGGGGCAGCAAGAGGCAAAAGGCGTATCAGGTATTTATTTCAGTCTCTGAGATGGCTGCTGGCAGAGTTCCACATACCTAAACTAGGGGGAAGCTCACGAGTAGATACAGAGTAAGATGTGGAGGGAACCGACCTCCTGCTTCCTGTGATTTATTTCTGATCACATGCATGATATTTAAAAAGAAAACAAGAGTAAAGACTTAAAGCGTTGTTTGGCTTTGTGGAATTTTTTTTGAGGGGGAAGGGAGACTGATTGACTATACGTAATCTTTCCCGCTGGCTTTTGAGGGGTTTCTCTGTAATATTTTTCCTAATGCCTTAATTAGAGCGATTGACTCAAGCTGATAAGTAATTTGAATCTGCTGGAATGCTCCGTTTACTTCTATGGGACCTTGATGAGGGAAGTCCAGTCGTATGGGTAGGTGTAAAGAAGGGTTCATTAAGAAAAATGCTGAATCGATTGGCACCTGACTTGGTGGTGAGGAAAGAGGAAAGGAATTTCTGGCCATGAAGCTTGTGACTCCACATCAAGATCATTCTTTTTTGTAGAACAACCACCCACCCTTAGTCCACTGCTTGAATTCCTCAGATTCTTCCAACCAGAGGAACTATGGCATGCTAAATGGTCTGTTATGATATCTGAACACTTATGTGAATGTGTTTGGCCAAGGAGATTTGCTAATGAAATTGATCTGCTTCTCGAGGTTTTTCCAGTTCTGAATAATTAAAGAAAACTAAAACCTGGATTCTTCAAGCTGCTTAGGATCCTTAGAATAACTGTCTCAATTCAGAAGCACCTTAAAACTCAACCTGTATAAACTGTAGAGGATTTGTAAATTTCTGCTATTTATTTGCTGGAAGTGTTTGCTCACATTTCCTGGGTCAGGAGAGTCGCCCTTTAAAGGGACACCCTATTCTTTGAGTAGCTGTGAGAAAGCTCTCTGCTGGTTTGAAAACTGCCCTTGAATCTTAGCATGCCAGCCTAAGGAGTCGAACGGAACAGATTTCCTTCCTCCCACATCCCAGCCTTCAGATAATTCACACTGGTCACGTCTCCTGGAACTTTCTCTAGGTCAAGCAGGGTTTCTAGAGCCTGGCCGTGTGGGACTAGGACACAGGAATCGGGGGGCATCTCCTTTAAGAGGGTTAAGGAATTCTGAAACTGGGCTGCCTCCCCTCTCCTCAGTTTCTGGTCTGAGTGGGGAGATTCAGTCAGTAGCCCCTTGGTAAGTAAGAAATGAGGTGTGAAGCCATTTGCCAGAGATCTTCCGTTTGTTTAGTTCCAATCCCAGGATTGAGCACAGCCCTCATTTTTGGCCAGGACTTCTCCGACTCCTTAAGTAATAGCCTGAGGTTTCGCTGCCAGATCTCCACATACCATCTACTGCCTTCTCTTCATGTTGGCGTAAAGGACAGAAATAACTTTTCCTTAAGTTTTCCAAGACTGATGGTATGGTTCAGTGTGATTCCAAGATGTTCACATATTCTCCTTTGCTCCTTCCTTGAGCCAGGGAACGGCCTTCACAAAGGGAGCACGGTGTGGCACCCCTGCAGCCACGCTGCTGCCTCTGGCGGACAGCCGGCTTCCTGGGTTGGCCTTTTGTTTAAGTCACCAGGTGACCAGCTGGATTACCTAAAAGCTAAGAGGCTGAGAACTGAATTGTGGTTAACTTTAATATTGTCTGTCCTGAGACTTGAAATATAGACCCGAGCTTTTCATATGGCCGCAAGGAGGCTCAGGTTTACTTGGATGTGCATGGCAATACGGAGTTCAGGTGTCTGGGAGTGGGGCGTCGCCGCCGTCCCCTTCATTCCATCTTCCTCCCCGGGCACCACTCAGATTTGTGGGCAGGAAGACCCCGCCGGGAGGATGGCCCGGGACTGGAACGGGGAAACAGGACGTGGAATGTGCCTAGAGTATATCCAATGACTGGGTCTCTGCGTGGCCGAATTCCGTGGGACACCAGCCAAGTGCTGAGTGTGAGGCTGTGGTCGTCTGTGGGCCGGCAGAGGGGCGTGCCAAAGGTGACATTGGAGACTGGGGAGCCTTTGGCGGCTGCGCTGGATCCAAGGGCGCTGCGGGCCGCCCACTGCAGCCAGCGCGACCCTGACAGCAGATGGGGCCCGGAGTGGCCCTTGCCAGGGCCGGCTGGCAGCGGGGAGGCGGGGGCGCCGCTTCTGGGTCCGTTCGCCCTTGGGCTGGGCGGCGAGCCCGGCGGGTCGGAGCGAGGCGGGGGCGGTGGGGCCGGGCCTCCCTTTGTCAGGGGATTTGCGCGGCGCGGCCGAGCCTCGCTCCGGTGCCGCTCCCCGCTCGGTCTCGGGGGGCGGGGCTCCCGCCCGGGGCCCCGGGGCGCGGTGGGCGTGGGCTTCGGGAGCCGAGCGGCTGGCGCCGGGGGTCCCTCGCTCGTTCGGAGCCCTTGGAAGCCCCTCCCTCGGTGGCTCGGTCTCCAATCCCGTCGGCCGCCTCCGCCCTCGCGGGGGTCGTTCCTCCCCGCGGCTCCGCCCTCCTCCCGTCGGCTCTGCGCGGAGCGCGCTGCCCGCGGCCTGGGGGGCTGCCCGGGCGGGGCGGGCGGCGGCGGCGGCGCGGGAAGCGGGAGGAGGGCCGCCGCCAGCCCAGCACTTCCCGCGAGCGGCGAGGGAGAGAGCCGCGCGGCGCGAGGGAGGAGGGCGCCTCCCGCCCGGCCGGAGCGGAGCCTTTTGTTCCCAGCCAGAAGTTCGCATGCCGGGACCGTGACAGCTGCGGGCTGGGGAGGACGGCGGGCCGCGGGGTCGGCGGCGCAGCGGAGAATAGAGGTGGCTGCTTGTCATGCAGCCCACGGTGCGGCGGCTGCAGGCCGGGGACTGGCGGGGGCGGCGGCGCCCACGGCAGAAGAACGCGGCTGCCGGAGGGACAAACTAACTTCCTGAGCGCGGGACCCACCTGCCAGCCCACGGTGAGGCGACCCTGGCCCTCCGGGGCGCGCGACGGGGCGCGGGAGAGGAAGCGGTGCTGAGGGAGCCTCTCCGACCGACCCTCGCTGCCGCTGCAGCCCGCCCGTGCGCCTACTGGAAGGCCCGGCGCGGGCTGCAATCGGCTTGTTTTGCGGCCACAGCGCGGGGTTGGCCTGGGAGCCACAACAATGCCATGATGTTTTGGAGACAGGAAGCCCCAAGCTGGCCGCGAATGAAGGACTTCCTGTGTTTAAAGTTGCAGGAATATCCGCCGACCAGCCCAGTTCAAATGCAAACATCCCAACTTGGGAGGACGAATGGCTAATTCAGACCAGCTGGACTCTCCAGGGCTGGGACTGAGGAGAAAATGAAAGGAATTTATGGGAGCTTGGGCCATACTTGGAAGACTAGAGAGGCTGTGCCATTGTTATTAAAAGACTCACTCAGCTTTGATGAGAAGTTACCGGAACTTAGGTATTGAATATGACATGTCAATACCAGATGATTTTTTTGCTAACTGAATGAGAAAGAGCAGTGCTCTTTAAAATAATAATTTAAAAAGAACCAGAAGCCATATGAGGACTTATTTTATTTGTTGATTGAATTATGCCGTTTATCTGTCTGCAACTTTGAGGCTGCTTGCCTGTGAGGAAAAAGCTTCCCCTGAGAGCTTCTCCCAGGATGGTTCCAAAGCGGGGCTTCCAGACCCTTCTGGAGGATGAATGCACTTGGTGGTGTGGGGGCATGAACATGTAAAAGGACTTTTCATACAATGTGTTTTGGGAGAAGCTGTGAAAAAAAATTTTTTTCAGAGATTAATGATTTCTCGTGATTAAAAAAGTATGGGTAAGCCACTGAGCCGACCAGACTGTTTAAGGCGGAACCCTACCTGCCTGGGGAAGGGTGAGGAGGAGGATGGCTATATAGAGGATTGCTATGTTCCACAGCGTTCTATCTATGATACCATGAGGATAAATGAACAGATTGACCAGGGGTCAAAGCTTAATCAGACTTCCAAAAGCACCATGGAAAAGCTGGAGGGAAGCACTATATCCAGCAATGGCACGTTAGGGGCAGCGTCTAATGTTTTTGAATCTAGAGCGCCGGAAGGCAAAAAACTGGATGAGAGAATCATCTTTGATGCATTAAAGCTAAGCAGTGATGTGCAGAAGTCGGCACCTGCACCACCCAGGAGGCGGCCCAATGCAGAGCGCAGAGACAATGTTAACAGGAGATCATGGAAGTCCTTCATGCCACCCAACTTCCCAGAATTTGCAGAAAGGATGGAAGCTTCTCTCAGTGAGGTTTCAGAAGTTGGTGCTTCCAACCCTTCCTTGCAAGAGAAGAAGGAATCCAAGTCTGTATTAACAGCAAGTTCTGGTCAGTTAGACCAGAGGGCACCTCGGGCAGAGGCTGTAACTCTGCAACATGTGTCCAAGTCTGTAGGTGTTTCAGAAGTGCAAGATGTGAAGAACTTAAGTGGAGACTGTCAGGACTTGAGATTTCAGCAGCACAGTGAGAGCTCTCCCTACCAATTCCTGCCTGCAGAATCAGAAGCTCCAGCGGCAAGTGCTAACACAGATGTTACGCAGGAACACAGATTCTCAAGTGCAACCTGGCCCAGGGCCATGAAAAGTTCGGCTAAGGGAAGCTTCGGTGAGAAGCAGCACCCCCTTGGGGAAACGGCCTGCGCTGTGGAAATACCGCCTCTCTCGCCTTGCCTGAGTGAAGAGCTCTTGGATCCGGAATTGAATATACTTGTAATCCCCACCCTGAGAGAGAAAACCGAGTCTGAGCTAAAGTTTGAGGAAGATGAGCGATGGATCATGATGGAGGCTGAGGAAGATTGGGAGGAAGAGAAACTGTCAGAGACAGGGAAGACTTCTCTGATGGCAAATGAGAACAACCTGACAGATACTGGAGAGAAGGAACCAACAGACACAACAGCAGTGGCAGAGGATGAAGCTGATAGCTTAGCTGCTGCCTCGGGTGTTCTCGGCCACCCAGATCTTGATCAGATTTCTTGTTGTGATAACCCACAGCCATCTCAGGACCAGCTGGCTTCTGTTCCCCGGGATACACCCCTAGATCACAGCTATGTTCTCACAGGGGAGATGGAAGACAGAACTCCTCGGGGCCTGGAGAGTCCTGTTGGTGCAGAGCAGCTCTCTGACACAGACTCAGTGCAGATGTTTCTTGAACTTGAAAAGGAGTGTCTGTGTGAAGAAGTGGTCACTCCTCCAGCTGAGCTGCAGAATCAGGCCTCTGCTGAATGGCTGGCCCCATCCCAGGATGCAGAAAATTCATCTGTGATTAGTCACTTTCCAGGGGCACCCTCAGAGAAGGGACAACATGTAGGCCTTTTAAATGTAAGCAAAAAGGACTATGCTGTTGGGTTGGATTGTGAGTATTTTAGTGCCCTGGATTCTTCTCAGGTGCCTAATGCTGTGGAACTTACTGCCTCTGACGCTTCCACTGTTAACAAGGAGGAGTGTGAAAAAGTGCCTTTTAGCCCCACAGCTGCAGGGGAATTTAAGTCCAGTAACCCAGCAGACCTGGAGTCACTAGGAATGCAGGATTCAGGAGAATTGCCAAACCCTGATCACCTGGCTTCTCATGATGATTTATCAGGCTTTATTGCTTCTGAGCTGGCCAAAGAAAATGGCAATTTGTCCCAGGTAGACTGCAGTCAAACTAAGAGGAATGTGAAAAAGCATATTGGGAGTCCTCCCCTCAGTTTTGCGTTTAATCATGAACTCACAGATGTTACCTCAAGACCTGAAGCAGAGGTGTTATCATATGACTCACGTTTCCTAACAGATGAGATGTGTTTGAAAAGTGAGAAAGGAGCTATTAATCCAGAAAATAGTAGTGTGGCATCCTTGGGAAATGTGGACCTTTGTGAATTGTGTGTGGAGAAAGTTTTTGATGAGGCAGAAGAGCTGGATTGTCAAGCCAAACTTTTGGAAGATGGAGCCCCAACGCATTCTCATAAAGACTCCCCAGAGCAGGTCCCAGACAGTCTCCAGAGCAAGTCTCCAGAATCAGACGTTCTGGTTAGGGAACTGAGACACGGAGATGGAGTAGGAACTGTGATTGACAGAAAGCCTGAGCTGAACGTGGCATCATGGGGAGGAACTTCACTGCAAAATATCCTTCCAGGGGAGCAAGCCACCAAGTCTAGTAATAGTGAATCTGTTTTGGAGGAAAGGATGCCCATCCTCCAAGGGCTTGCTCCAACTGCTACAGTGCCCACCCTGGAAGAGAATGTCCTGCTTGCTGCAGTGTCTGAACCACAAGGAACTGCTGTGGCTGCTGCTCTAGTGCCCTTCCCAAAGGAAGACATCCCAGCTGCCTTCGTGGTTCCTACAGAGAATGTCACAGTTGCTGCAGTGTCTGCCCCAGAGGGGACTGCTTCAGCTGCTCCAGTGCCAATCACAAAAGAGGATGACACCCCAGAAAAGCCTGCCACCCCCACTGCTTCAGTGCCTGTCCTGGAAGAGCCCACCACCCCCACTGCTTCAGTGCCTGTCCGGGAAGAACCCACCACTCCAATTCCTGCAGCAGCAGCCACCTCAGAGAAGTATCCTGCTCCGGCTGCTGCAGTGCCTACCCCAGAGAAGCCTGATGCCCCAGCTCCTGCAGCAACAACAGCTCCACAGGAGCCAGCTGCTCCATGTTCTTCATTACCTACCCTAGAGGGGTCTAACATCTTGACTGTCACAGTACTCTCCCCAGGGGAGCCTGCTGCCTCAGTTCCTGCAGCAGTGTCTGCCCCACAGGAGCCCACTGCCCCAACTCTTTCAGTACCTATCCTAGAGGAGTCTAGAATCCTGGCCATTGCAGTACTCACTCCAGAGGAGCCTGTCGCCCCAGCTCTTGAAACACCGTTGTCCCCCAAGGAGCCTGCCACCCCAGCTTCTGCAGCGCCATTGTCTCCAGAGGAGCCTGTTGCCCTAGCTCCTGCACTACTTACCCCAGAGGAGCCTGCCACCCCAGCTCCTGCAGCACCATCATCTCCCAGGGACCCTGCCACCCCAGCTTCTGCAGCACTACCTATACCAGAGGAGCCTGCCACCCCAGCTTCTGCAGTGCCATTGTCTCCCAGGGACCCTGCCACCCCAGCTTCTGCAGCACTACCTATACCAGAGGAGCCTGCCACCTCAGCTCCTGCAGCACCTTTATCCCCAGAGGAGCCTGCCACCCCAGCTGCTGTAACACCAACCCCAGGGAAGCCTACTGCCTCAGCTCCTGCACCACCATCATCCTCAGAGGAGCCTGCCATCCTAAATTCTGCAGTACCTACCCCGGAGGAGCCTGTCGCCCCAGCTCCTGCAGTGCCGTCATCCCCAGAGGAGCCTGTTGCCCCAGCTCCTGCAGTGCCATCATCCCCAGAGGAGCCTGTCGCCCCAGCTCCTGCAGCACTGTCATCCCCAGAGGAACCTGCCATCACAGATGCTGCAGTACCGACCCCGGGGGAGCTTGCCACCCCAGTTCCTACAGTACCATTGTCCCCAGAGGAGCCTGCTGCCTCAGCTCCTACAGTACCAACCACAGGGGAGCCTGTTGCCTCAGCTCCTGCAGCAGTGTCTGCCCCACAGAAGCCTGCCTCTTTAGCTGCTATAGTACTCGCCCCAGAAGGGCCTGCTGCCCCAGCTGTTGCAGCATTGTCCACTCCAAAGGACCCTGCTGCCCCAGCTGCTGCAGCAGTGTTTGCTCCACTAGAGTCTGGGTTCCTAGCTGCTACAGTGCTTACCCCGGAAGGGCATGCCATCCCAGCTGCTGAAGTACCCACCCCAGAGGACCCTGCTGCCCCAGTTGCTGCAGTGCCTTCTGTGGAGGAGAGCAATTGCCCTGCTGGCACACCCTTCCTGGGAGACACTGCTCATACTGAATCAGTGCCTATATTGGAAGAAGGAACTCCTGTTCTAGAACGGATCAAGGAGGACCTTGATTCCTCAGCATTTGGATTAAAAGAGGTGACTGGCACAGTGCTACATGGGAAAGTGCCTCTGGCTGCAACTGATGGATTAAATTCAAATGAGGTAATTGTTGCCCCTTTTGTTGCCTGGAAGGGTCTGGAGAGTTAAGTGAGATTTACAAGTTCTTTAACTTGATAGTGTTGAGAAATGGCACTGGCAGTCCTTCCTATTCTTTTTGAACCCCCTAGGATTTTAGTTTTCTGTTCTTAATTGAATTTATAGGGAAAATGTATCTTAATTTTGTCTATTACTCATACTCCATTTTTTATTCAGATAAGCCAAGCTCAAGGGAAAATGATGTAAACAGTTGTCAGTGTGCATTTTCTTCTAACGATTATTAGCATGAAAGGATCATTTGCTTTTGATATACAGAGATTATGTTCTTTCCTAAATCAAGAAATTATTTGCTTATCTGTGATGTCAGTAGTTCTGTAGAGGACAGAGTGTGCGCTTTACAGTAAAAACTAGAGTCCTTCTGAATTGTTGGGAAGGTTAGGTAGCCTGTCTCCAGTTTTCTCGTGTTAATGCAGTAGTACCCTGCAGGGATTTGAGGACAAAATGAGATAGGACATCTGTGGTACCAGGCGAGCAAGATCTGAATTACTGGCCCTTTCTCCCCTTTCTCTTCAAACGGATGTATTAGTTGATTGGAAGAATTGATCAAAGTTGGCTGCGTGAAGCCAGCATAGAGATATTTGAATAACAGCATCTTAACATGAAAGTAGGTTTCTTAAAACCAAAGACACACCAATGTTTACAAAAATAGAGGTATTTCACTCATTTTGTCAGACTGCCTCTGAGTCTTTACATAAGTCATTTTCCTTCAGTTGCTATATGAAATGAGAGAATTGGGCTAAATATTCTCTCTCAACTATGAGTTTCCGGACATTGGAGACCTGAATGTGTTAGGAAATAGTTGAGAACAGTTTTCCACACCCTTCAGCCCTCCTAGACAAAGGAATTTGAGATCAGCAGCTTTCTCTGGTTAACTGCCAGGTGTTGTTTCCTCTTTGGTAAGGAATGAAGTTAGAGGGTTAATCTAATTCAGTGTGGGAAAACTGTGTGAGGAGGAAGCTTTGATTTGATTCCATCTCCAGTATCCAAATCAGTGCCACCCTCGTGGCAGGCATTCATGAATGAATGAATAGTAATCTCCTGGGATGCCCATGGCTGTGCAGGGAAGTTGAGTTCCATTGCCCACCCCACTGAGAGCCTCTCAGGGCAGCCTTAGTCTGCTGGAGTGCCGGTTACACAGACAAGCACCTCCCGGTCTCAAAGTCATGCCAGCTGCATCCTTAAGGCTGTTAATGTTGCCGCAGATCCTCTGCCCAGCTGAGTGATAAGCTGTGTCACCTTGGGCTTTGACAGTTATTTCATAATGCAGTCTCCCATCAAATTAGGATGTGTCATTTTTCAAATAGATGCATTTTAGATTGGTTTTTTGAGTTTTATTGAATGTTATTGACACCAAGATCCCCATAACCTGTCCAAAAATAGGATGATAAGTCAGTAGCAGACTAAGTTTCTTATGCTGGTATTATTGATAACAAAGTACTGAAGCAATCAGTGAAATACAGTTATTATATTTATCAGGAGCCAGTCACATATGCAGAAGATTTGTTTATTTTTATTGGAAAGTCAGATTTATAGGGAAGAGAGGCAGAAAGATATTTCATCCGCTGATTCACTCCACAAGTGACAACAACAGCTGGAGCTGAGCAAATCCGAAGCCAGGAGCCCAGAGCCTCTTCCAAGTCTCCAACGTGGGTGCAGGGTCCCAAGGCTTTGGGCCATCCTCAACTGCTTTCCCAGGCCACAAACAGGGAGCTAGAAGGGAAATGGAGCAACTGGGATACAAACCAGTGCCCGTATGGGATCCCTGCCCATGTATGGCTAGGATTTAGCACTACGCCATCTTGGCAGGGCCTGAGAGAAACTTATAAGTATCTGGGATCTGTTTTTTGATCTGCAAAATGAATATTGATAACTGGGACTTGATAGTCATAAGAATCCCTCCAGCTCCAAGGAACAGTCATTTCCTGAAATGCCTGATATCAGTAACAGAAGGAAATGGTAGCGCCACTGCATATTGCCCATCTTTGAAGTAGTTACTTTATGGAATATCTGGAAGTAAATAGATGATTATATTTGTGTACATAAGTGGAAGTATCTAAGCTATAATACCAGCCAGGATCCTTAACCTGTGAAAATATTGGAAGGCCATTTTATTTATTTATTATTTTTATTGAAAAGTCAGATATACAGGGAGGAGGAGAGATTGAGAGGAAGATCTTCTGTCCATTAATTCACTCCCCAAGTGGCTGCAATGGCCAGAATTGAGCTGATCCAAAGCTAGGAGCCCAGAGCCTCTTCCAGGTCTCCCACGCAGGTACAGAGCCCCATGGCTGCAGGGAACTGAATGGGAAATGGGACCAGCAGGACATGAATTTGTGCACATATAGGATCCTGGCACATGCAGGGCAAGGACATTAGCCACTAGGCCACCGTGCAGGACCCTGGAATGCCATTTTAAAAATACACAAACACTATAGAGTTAGCATAGAGAATAAGGATTTGTTTAAATGAAGTTTTACCCCCCCCCTTTTTTTAAAAAGATCTATTTATTTTTATCGGAAAGGCGGATATAGAGAAAAGAGGCAGAGAGGAAGATCTTGTGTCCGATAGTTCACTCCTGAAGTGGCCACAACAGCTGGTGCTGTGCCAATCTGAAGCTAGGAGCCAGGAGCTCTTCCAGGTCTCCAATGCAGGTGCAGGAGGATCCCAAGGCTTTGGGCCATCCTCGACTGCTTTCCCAAGCCACAGGCAGGGAACTGGATGGGAAGTGGAATTGCCAGGACTAGAACTGGTGCCCGTATGGGATCCTGGAGCATTCAAGGCAAGGACCTTAACCACTATGCTATTGCACTGGGTCCTTTTCCCCCAATTTGATATTGTTTACATAGTTGAAGTGAATGCACACCCATGTGGGTCTCCAGTTAGTGTGGGGAGGGTCAAGATGTAGAGGAAGATGAGTGAGACAAATCTTCCCCCGCCCCCCCCCCCCCCCCCCGTGTCTGCAGAGGGAGAAAGGGAGGGACGTGCTCATTGCTGTCAGATTATGTCAGCACCTGGGGAGGAGGCGCCATCATTGGATGACACCTTAAAGACTCTGATATTGGGAAAAATGTGCCAAGGGTGTTACTGGAATGGTTTTGATAGTTGTGAGATGTCGTTGCCTTCATCGCAGCAGGGTTGAGAATGTCTCCAAGGCCTGTTGACTGACCAAGTCCACCTTAGTACATCCACAGATCCAGACAGTTGGTGCAAAGCTTGGCCAGGAGAATTGCCCCACCTGTTCTGCTTCCCATCCTCTGATGAGACATTTGATATCTTTTTGTGGCCTAGAGGAGCTGGCTGTCTCATGCGCCATGTGGATCTGGGCATGCTGTCCACTGCATGGGCATCAGCAGCTAAGGAGGCCCAGCCCCAGTACGTGCAGTCCAGTGTTGGACCACATGTTTGTGATTTTCCCTATGGTCAGGTTTTGAGAAAGGTGATGTGGTTGGGGAATCCCTCAAGAAACTCCACGTGGGGTGGCCTCAGACTTGACTCTTGTATGCGCTAGCCAGTGCAGGATCAGGTTCAGTCTATCAACCTCACCAGCCAGCACATACACTGGTGCATGCAGCTGCCAGGTCAGTTCTGCCCCTAGCCCTGTCTCATGAGAACTGACGGGTACTACAGCCTTGCCCAACCTACCACAGGCCAGGTCTTCACACACACCAGCTCTGGCCTATCAGGGTATCCCTCACTAACTCCCCACCAGACCAACTCCCAGCCCCAGTTTTTGCACATGCTGGCGTGTGCTGTTGCCAGATCGGGTACATCCCACATCCCATCCGGCTCTCATGCACATCCATGAGTGCTATGGCTTAGCTCAGCCCAACCCACCCCCAAATCCGACCCACACATAATGCCAGTGATGCCAGTGGGTGCTGATGCACATTCCAGCCTGACACACCTCCAGCCCTGGCTTTCATGCTAACCAGCAGGAGCTCCAGTTTAGTTGGAAAGTGCAACTAGTAAAGTTTTTTTTTTTTTTTTAATTATTTTTATTGGTAAGGCAAATCAGATTTTACAGAGAGGAGAGATAGATCTTCCATCCACTGGTTTACCAAATGGTTGCAACAGCCAAAGCTGAGCTGATCTGAAGCCAGGAGTCCAGAGCTGCTTCTGGGTCTCCCAAATGGGTGCAAGGTCCCAAGGCTTTGGGCCATCCTTGACTGCTTTCCCAGGCCATAAGCAGGGAGCTGGATGGGAAGTGGAACATCCGGACCTCAAACCCCACAAGGGATCCTGGCATTTGCAAGATGAGAATTTAGGTGTTGCATCAGGCCCAGTGAAGTATTTTTTTAAGAAGCTTTTGCCAAATGAGATGTTTAAGTTTCAGCTCTTCCATTTTTACAAGGTTCCTAGAGACAGTTGAGCCTGTCATGTTGATACATGGACACTTGGAACTCAATGATCATATCTATCACATGGTAATAAACTGTTGTACATCCTGTGTATATGTATGTACAAATGCAGATATTCACGTGATTAAAATAAGTGAAAACTAAGAATAGCCATGAGGACAGTATTGATTAGGAAAGAACAGATGTCAGGGCATGGTAAAGTGGGAGACAGTGTTAAATTTGGGACTGATAGGTTTGAGATGCCTGCGATTTGTTTGCGTGAAGGTACTAAAGCAGCTAAATCTATAGGGATATACAGGAAGTTTTTGGTAAATGTTTACTGTGTTGCAAAAAAAAAAAACCTTGAAATTCATGCATAGTTTCTCATGATACTGTTTTGAACATGCCTCAAATGCATGGACTTTTTTCTTTTATTGGTTGAATTTAAAAGTCAAACCAACAGAAAGGGAGAGAACTGGAGAGATGACTTCCAACCACTAGTTCAGCCAGATCTGATTGAGGCCAGCGCCAGAGCTGGAGTCTCCATCCATGTTTCCCACATAAGTGGCAAGAGCCTAAACTCCTGGGCCATTTTCAGTTGCCTTTCATGGGAATGTATTATATATATATATTTAAGTCTTAAAAGATGCAGTCATTTTCATTTAAAGACAGAAAAGATCTTCCATCCTTTTCATTCTCCAAATAGCCACAATGGCTGGAGCTGAACTGATCCAAAGATGGGAGCCAGGCACTTCCATGTCTTCATGTGAGTGCAGGGCCCTAAGGCCTTGGACCATTCTTTGCTGCTTTTGCATGCCAAAACCAGAGTTGGATCAGAAGTGTAGCAGCCAGGACACACACCAGGTGTTCATAGGGAATGCCAGTGCCACGGGGTAGAGGATTAGCCTGCCAGCCCCATGAACTTTTTTAAAGATTTGATTTGTTTGTTTTGATAGGCAGGGTGGCAGAGAGAGAGCAAGTGAAAATGAGAAAGAGATCTTTCATCTGGTTCTCTCCCAGTGGCCACATTGGCCAGTGCTGCACCAAGCTAATGCCAGAAGCCTAGAATCCAACTACTTCTCTCAAATGGGTGTTAGGGAACCAAGTACATGGGGATATCTTCACTGCTTCCCCAGACTCATTAGCAGGGAGCTGGAGTTTGAACCAGCACTCTTTGTGGGATTCAAGCATTACAAGAGGTGGGTTCATCCACTTTGTCATAAAACTGGTCCTTGTGTGAACATTTTGAACTACTCTCATACAGATTTGAGACTCAGAAGTGTTATGAATTGAGAGTCAGAAGTATTTACATAAATTAGTATCTATGAGTAAAGCTATGGTAATGGATGGAATTACCTAGAAAGAACAGAATTGAGAAGAAGGCCTTGAACTGACAATCTGTCTACACCTAACACCCTTAAACTCCAGCATGTGAAGGTCAGAAGAGAAAGAGAACAGAAGACATTAAAGAATTGGGCTAGTGCAGAGGCTCAAGAGGCTGATCATCCCCTATAGGCACTGGTTCATGTTCTGGCTACTCACTTCTGATCCAACTGTCTGCTGTGGCCTGGGAAGGCAGAGGAGGATGGCCCAAGTAATCCTGTGTGCACCTATGTGGGAGACCCGGAAGAAGCTCCAGGTTTCTGGGAGTGTTACTTGAGTGGTGGATGGGTTAGACTGACAGACTGTGGGAGGTATAACTTACAGCTAAGCTTGACCCTAAGCTTGCTGCATAAATTATCCCCAATTCTCATGGAGTGAATCCTTACATT